GGTCGTCGGTACTCTCCTCCCCATCTAGGGGGGGCAATAGATCACAATCCCTTGCGGCGGTGTATATCGAATGGAACAGACTTACTTGTGTACGCTGAACGATGCAGGATGAACAGTAGCGATGCTGGAGTTGATATTGACAAGGCGTCCATACAAGCGGCCTCTGTCGTGTTCCACATCAGTCTGCCTGCAACGTGGATTCTCTTATCTGTTCTCAGGTGAGACATTCCTGGCGATCTTGTATATACTTCACGCGCTGCCGCAATGGACAATTAGTTTGCATGTTTTTGAGGATGATACGGTGGCTAAGGTCACTGTATCTAAGGCAAATCTGAATGCGTTTTTTGGTTTTTTTTGGGCCCTGCCCCGTTCCTTGTTGCTTCGCTGTTTTGCTTTGTGGCGAAACGCAAATCTGGCTGGGGGATTTGCGGGTCGTTTTTGGTTGTGGTGGTTTTTTGTTGTTTGTTTGTCGTTGTTTTTGTGATGATTTGCCTAAGTTTTTGGACCACACGTGTCCTTGTACATTCCTGCTTTTCACTGCTTACGCAATTGTAAGGACCGAGCCTAGTGCGAATCGGCCAAACCGGAGGAAAAAAAAAGTTGCGAGTTTCTCCTGAGAATCTTTCTCTTATTTGCACACGCAACAATGTTTGAGCAAAACAACTTAAATCAAATCTGGAAGTTTTCAAACAAACACTTTTTGTTTAACTTCCGTTTTGCTCTGCGCACTAGGTGTGTTTTCCAGTTTTCCCAACACTTTAATTTCATGGTCAAACATGATGAATCTTTGTTTCGTCTGAAACTTTTTCCATCAAGGGTAGGGTGGGAGGGTTTTGCCCCTTTTATGACGGAGAAGTTTTCGTCTTTCAAAGGGGGCGCCTGATGTATTGCTAGTTCCATGGATCACACTGCAAACGGTCATACTGATGAACCAACAGAAGTTGAATCCCATGCTTTTCAAGGGCTTGGATCGTTTGTCAGCTTTTCAGATGACTTGCACAAGCTTGAAGAGGCACTGGACGTTGAGGACAATGGTGCAGATGCTCAGGGGATTTCAGAAGCTTTCAGTCCTACGACTGTTGCAGAAGATGGTGTGTTTGGACAGCATTTTTTACAGCACAATTCTGAGAGTGATTTGAATCGAACTCAGTTGGCCACCTCTTCAACTGCTTTTAGTTTTGATGCTGCGTTGAATGTAGCTTTCAACTCCACAGACGCTGAACTGCCAAAACAAATTTGGGAAACTGGTGTTTGGAAACACATCTTCGGAAACGATGACACTGCTTTGGACTTTGATGTTTGGGGACCACAGTTGACTAGACCCACTCCGTCTTTGTGGGGCTTGGACAACCAGGCATTGGAAACGGAAGCAGCAGGTTCGAGGAAGCGTGCACACGCTCATGTATGCAATTTCATGGACGTTGTTTCTTTCAAGCCAGACGTCCCATGGCAAGATCAGAGGGAGGCAGACCTACAGCGTAGCATCAAACTGTGGATTGCAGTTACAAGCAGATGGAGTGATGGAAACTCACTGGCACAGAAGCTTGGAGAGATGCGCAACGAAGGAGAGGTGTTCACAATGTTTGCACACGTGTTTTCAGGTCGAGCTCCAGTGACTGTGCGCAAGCGTGGCGCAGCAGTTCTCAAAGTATGTGATTACTTAGAGCAGAACGTCCTGGAGCCCTTTCCCATGAGAGAAATAACATTTTACAGGTTCCTTTGCCACGAAGAGTCGTCAGGAGCTCCAGCAAGCAGAATGAAGGGTTTCATACAAGCCATTGCCTTTTGCAGACATGTGTTGGACATGGCAGAGTTGCAATGCATTCTGGATAGCAAGAGGTGCAGTGGTGTGGCATTTGAATCCTGTCCAAAGGAACGCAAGCAGGCGAGCCCACTGACAGTGCTTGAGCTCAACAAGTTGCACGAGGTGGTCGACACAAGTGAAGACTTGTGGGATTCAGCCTTTGCTGGAGCGGCGCTTTTATGCTGCTATTGCAGGGGCAGGTGGGGCGACTTGATGAGGAGTGAGTCGGCCTTCGTGGACTATGACGCAGAGGGCAAGCCGGCTTACTTTGAAACAAGGACAGGTCGACATAAGACCATGAGCTCCCAGATGCACAGGCATCAGTTCCTGCCGATGGTGGCGCCTGTCAAAGGCGTACATGGGAAAGACTGGGTCACTCCTTGGTTGCAGAAAAGGAAAGAGCTGGGAGCATCGTTCCCGCCAGAAGGGCTCGTCATGCCCGCTCCAGATCGAGAGGGTGGGGTTTCACAGAGGCCTCTGGAATCTGGAGAATGCGGCAAGTGGCTACGTCGCTTGTTGGGGCTTGATGGACTTGCACCGGAAGATCCTGGACGGCGAGTGAGTAGTCACAGCCTCAAATGCACCATGCTTTCATATGCGGCCAAGAGAGGGCTTTCAGTTCCAGACAGGTTAATGCTTGGTTACCATGCTTCACAGATGCACATGGCAATGGTTTACTCAAGGGATGGGGCAGCTGCAAGTTTGTTGCTACTTGAGCGTTTGATTGATGAGATTGCAAGAGGGAAATTCAAACCCGACAGCACCAGAAGTGGACGAGTGATTGACTCGCCTGATGATGAGCCTGGACCTCAGAATTCAAACGTCAAGGTTGAGCTTGTATGTTCGTCAGAAGAAGAACAGTGCGATGACTTGCATGAGTCCGACACATCAGACAGCACGTCTGACTCAGGGTCTTCTTCAGGTGACATTCCGGAGAACCATGCCTTGAATAAGGTGTTTGCTCCGCCCAAACCTCCAGAGGACTATCAGTGTTGGCAGCATTCAAAGTTGAAAACAATTCACTTGACAGAGCCTGGATATGTCAGGGTCTTTGTTTGTGGCCGACCTGTGGGCAATTTTCACAAAAGGATCACCCAAGACCCAAGGTTTGATTCACCGGTGTGCTGGGCTTGTTTCAACAAAGCCAGTAAAGGCTGACACAGCCGGCCCGTTGACCTGAGCAGGGGGGCTGACAGGTTCATGTTGTCTGGAGCTCAATTCAAACCATTCAATGTGCAGTTGTTTTCACTTTGCATGGAACTTTGGATGACATTTTCCCTTTACCTGTGTTTCATTTCATGACCTGTCGAACGTGTGAGCGTGACCCGTGCTTTATTTTTCAACGCTTGGACCTCAGAAGCTTTGAGTAGAGCAGGGATCGCAAACTCCAAGTCACACTTCTTGTTGTTGCAGTGATGTTCAACTTTAATTCAATGTGCAGCTGTGTTGACAGCTTTTGATTCACCTGCTTGGTTGGTCAGCACAGAGTGGCTGGAGGGACATGCAAGGATATGCATGTGATGCGTCGGGACCATATGGCCTTAGCCGATGACACTTGCACAGCCCAGTTTCGTTTCCTATATGTCCTTTTTCACCTGCATGACATTAGGTGCTGCGTTGACAACACAGGTAGTTGTAACAACCTGACTTCACATTGCGTTTCGTGTTCATTCAAGCTGACAACAATGACCGACATGAACGATTCACCTGTCAGATCGCGCCTGCACCAATTTCACCACAGAAGCGGTGTCGGCGAAAGGCGCCACTCAAAGGTCAGTGCTTTGATTTTCATTTTCACATGTGATGCACAGAGTTTACACTTTGATTGTGAAACTTTGCATCAATGTTTCTTTTTGCACTGATGGGAAGTGGAAGCACTGGGTATCCCATGATGCCTGACGTCACCTGCTGAGTTTCAAAAACAAACCAGACACAGAGTGAGTCCAAAAAGCATCGCACTCGTTGTGGGCTGGATACATGTGTCGAGGTGATTGCATGCTTGATTTTTCAGTTTTCAGAGTGTCGGAACACAGCTGGGCCGTGCTCAGATTTGTTGAGAAGGCACATGAAATTTTGTGGTGCGTGTGGAGAGGCTCAGCTACCAGGGTTTTCCACGGTAGGGAGCCAAACACAGCACACACGTTGCAAAACTGAGTGGGAGTGACGTTCATTACATCACACCATCAGCTTCAACTAGGAGAGTGAAAACTTTTTAATGACACTGGCATGTGAGCAGGGCAGTTCATTACATGGGTGTCTCGAGAAACTAACGTTTTTTTTTGAATTACTTTAGTTTGATCGCGTGACGGTCATGGCACTGGTGGAAAGCAATGCGGCCTTCACCCAGAGATGCAATGAGATTGACGAGACAGGGCAGTTTGGAACAGCCCTTGCAGCTCAGAACATATCCACTTTCAGTGGCATGGCTTTCTCACTGGGGACACCTCAAGCACCTCCCAGTGATCAGCAGTTCAACACGTTGTCACAGGCAGTGTTTGGTGGAGGAGCGACGCTTGGACAAACAGCGATGATCCGTAGACTCCACTTCGAGTCAACCACCCTTATGATTGCTTCTGTCAAACAGAAAGTGGACAGTGAAGCGGCAGACAAAGCAGACAGCGTGAAGAGAATTCCCATTGCCGAAAAAAGGCATCGGCTGGAGCAACAGGAGCGCAGACTGACAGGGATCAAGATTTGCGGCGAGCTGGAGCCAAGTCATCAGTTGCTTGACTTGACAAACAACATATTGGAAACAGGTGCGCTGGTCTGGATTGCACCAAGCAGGTGCACGAAGAGAGCCGATGAGGTGCAACTTGCAATCAAGGAGCGGCCATCAGCAGTTCAGGTGGAGAACCAGCAGCTCCGAGTTTCCCAGGTGCCGGAAGAGTTCAGAGCAGACCATGGCAGTGAGATAAAATTACAATGGTGCTGGCAGAGACGTGGACTGGCCATGGACCAGTGCAGACTGCTGTCATGGCACGTGCATGACGCTTGGGTGCACCAACTGTTCCGCACATTGAGCCAGACTGCACCGCCAGGATTCAGTCAGGTTAAAGTGGAGCAACTTGTGCGGGCCGATCGCGAGCTTTGGACGCTGCTGGCACAGGAGACGAAAGGAAGTCTCAAACCCAATGCAGCGGGTGACATCCCTCTGGACGCCATGGTGCAGAGGCTGTGTCAAGACCCAAGGATCACAATGTTCCTGCTTCCTACGACAGCAGGCGCGAAGGTCGTCGACAAGGAGGTGGCCACCAAGAAGCCGTTGACAGGGACTCCTGCACAGGCTGCGGCAAAGAGCACAAACAAACGCAGAAAAACCAGAGCGGAGAAAAGCTGCCCAGATGAGTTACGAAAGTTCAACCTGAAGTGTGAACACGGTCCAGTTTGCTGGGCTTACAACTTGAAATCGGGCTGCAAGAACCAGACCTCTGGCAAGCCATCGAGGTGTGCCAAAGGATACCATGTATGTGCCAATTGTCACAAGCCTGGACACTCTGTTTTGGTGTGCCGGGGCCTTTCAAAAGATGGAGCTTGACAGTGCGAGCCCACTGACATCATTTTGGAGTCAGGTGGGAAGAGGAAATTTGTTTCACAAGGGTCTGATTCGAACAACGACGCCAGGCCCAGCAAAAAGGGTGGTGCAAAAAGCAGGCACGTTCAAAACTGTGTCAAGCCTGCGCCACAGCCATCAATGGACACAAGCACCAGCTCCAAGAGCATGGGGTCGCATGAATTCACAGAGCAGCATGGATCAAAGTTTCAGGGCAAGCTGGTCAATGACATTATTTTTGTGGAGATTTGTGCTGGCAGTGCAAGGCTAACTCGCGCTGCAAGGGACGCTGGTTTCAAAGGCATTGCGGTTGATCATACAGACCGCAGATCATGCGGAATTGATATCTGCATTTTTGAACTGGAAGATCAGAGCCAAGTAGACGACCTATGTCAGTTTCTTGAAGCTGAGGCTGACAACATAGCAGCAGTTTGGATAGCTCCTTCATGCGGCACTGCTAGCAAGGCGAGAGAAAGGCGCCTCCCACAGTTGAAAAAACTTGGCATAGCCGTGCCGATCCCTTTGAGATCGCATGAACAGCCAGACCAAATTGACGGTCTGGCAAACACTGACAAGGTGAAGGTGGAGAAAGCAAACATGCTTTACAGCGCGGTCGAGCAGATCACCCGCACCACTTGCAAAGCAAAAATTTTTACTGGCATAGAAAATCCAGCAAACAGTCACTATTGGGGCACAACACCAATGCAGAACATCATGGAGGAGTTTGGACGCAAGTTTGTGACCTTCCACAACTGCAGCCACGGAGGGTCACGAGACAAATTGACTTCCATTTGGGTCAATGATGACTGGTTGGATGCGCTGGAAGCCCGTTGTGACAATTCTCACAGTCACAAGTCTTGGAAAGTGACTGTAACAGATACATCAGTGCACTTCCCAACTTCGGAAGAAGCAGCTTATCCGCAAGTTCTTTGCCAGCGCATAGTTGAGTGCGTCAAACAAAAAGTTCTGCAACAAGGCGTCAAACAAAAAGTTCTGCAACAAGGAGCGATTCTGTCCACAACCCTTGCTGAGCAAATACAACAACCCGATGCGGATGCAGCAGGCCGCATTGCTCTGGGATCACTGCCCAGAGGAACAAAAGTGCGACCGTTGGTGGCAGAATTTGGTACCTTTGTTGCTGCTGTGGTGCCAACACAACAAACACAGGCGATAGATTCCTTTTTGGCTTCGCTCCCAAAGGGTTCCAAGATCACTTCACGACAGTTGCGGAGAAGGGGCGAAATTCGGGTCGTGAAAGAAGACTGCAAACTCCTTGCTGGGGTAGAAAACTTGCAAGATGGCGACATGGTCGAGCTTTGTTGGATTGGTGTGCCCAGTTCACCAAGTCACTTTGTGGAAAGGGCGTATGAAGCTGGGCACCCCCGAGGGCTTGACGTGCACGTCGATGAGGCTATGCTGGAAGTTGTCAAACTCAACTTGATTGATCCTCCTTTTGTCTTGGCAAAGAAAAGAGCTCAGTTCATGAAACGATGGACTGAAAGGGCGAAACAACTTTCAGCGGAGGAGGAACGACTGAGGGCACAGATGCCCGAACATGTGAGGCAAGTTGTTGGCCGCAAGAGGCTGGTTTTGATGGGTGAAATTTTGGAGGACTTGGGATATCCAGATGACAAGCTGGTCAGCGACATAGCAGCTGGTTTTCGTTTGAGCGGCTACATGACTAAGTCCAATGTCTTCAGGGCCAAGTCTAAAAGGCCACCTTTGTCAATGGAAACCCTGAAGAAGTTGGGCAGGTCCTTCAACACCAAGAACTTTGCGTCTTTGGACAAGCGACAGGAGACGGAGTTGGAGGAAGCTACATGGAGTGAAACTCAGACAGAGCTTGAAAAAGGGTGGATATTCCTCGACAAAGAGGGCGAGACAGACGGCAAGTTCGTGGGCAAGAGGTTCGGGATCCGCCAGGGGTCCAAGATTAGGGTCATTGATGACTGCACATGCTGCGGCCTCAACTTGACTGTTGGGTTGCATGAGAAGTTCAAGCTGCACTCTGTGGATTTCCTAGCAGCCATGCTAGGGTGTGCTTTGAAGTTTGGCGACGATGGGGGGCGACCCCAGCTCCGAGGCAGGACGTACGATCTACGTTCTGCGTACAAACAATTCGCGGTTCATCCCTCCGACCGACAGATTTTGCGGATGGGAGTAAATGTGCCGGGCGCAAAACAATGCGCCATCATAGGCTTCAACTCGTTGCCCTTCGGTGCAGTGGGCTCTGTGGCGGGCTTTTTGAGGGTCAGTCAAGCCCTTTGGTTCATAGGCTATTTTGGCCTCGGACTTCTTTGGAGTGCCTTTTACGACGATTACACGTTGCTTTCAAGGATGGAGCTTGAGAACAGCAGCAGCTGGGCATGTGAGGCACTTTTCGACTTGCTTGGTTTAGAGTTTGCAAGAGAAGGACACAAATGTGTCCCCTTCGCCTCAAAATTCAAGGCTTTGGGGTTGGAAATCGATGTTGGAGATTTTCAAGCCGGCCACATACTCATTGGCCACACTGACAGCCGCAGGGAGGAGTTGCACAACCAATTGGATACCTTTCTCAAGGCCAATGCCATGACCTCTAAGGAGGCGGAGCGAATGCGGGGGAGGATGATTTTCTTCGAGGGGTACACCTTCGGGAGAGTTGCAAATTCAGCAGTGAAGGCCATAGGAAGGTATTGCCATAGTCAAGTACCAACGCCTCAGTTTGATGCAGCAATGAGGAAGTCTTTGGAGTTTTTACAACAAAGAGTTTTGGCTGGCAAGCCGTTGAAGATCCAACGATCTCTGCATCAGACCTGGCTTATTTTTACAGACGGGGCTTGCGATCCAGAAGCTCGCCATGGGTCTGTTGGAGGGGTCATTTACGATCCTCAAGGCAACTGCAGAAGTTTCTTTGGTGAGAGCGTGCCACAAACGATTATGGACGCCTTGCTGGCGAACTCAATGAACCCAATCCATGAGCTGGAAGTGATGCCAATATTGCTGGCAGCTCACCTCTGGGGAAAAGCCTATGAGGGGTCGCAAGTAGTTTACTACATCGACAATGAGTCATCGAGAATGGCGCACATCAGGGGTCACGGAGAAACCTCGAGAGCTGCACAGATGATCGAAGCCTTTGTGGGCATTGAGTCGTCCCTGCAGCATCGTGTTTGGTTTGGGCGAGTTCCGAGCTACAGCAATCCAGCGGACTCACCCAGTCGTTTGGACTTCAAAGAAGTCTTGCAGCTCGGTGCCACTCAAGCCAGTATAAACTGGGATTGGATGTCGGAGCACCTTGAGTTGTGACATGGGGCGAAGGTCGGAAGGTGCTGAAGCTTTCCCCGATGAAAAAGAGTGTCGCCAGTGATTCCATCGGACATGTCGCTGTTTCATGTGATCCACTTTGTGAGTTTTGTTTTGCAAACGCGTTTGACGAGCGTTCGGAAATTATTTTAAAAAATGGAAAAACACGTGCGCGCTTGTGGAGTGTAGAATAAGTTGCGAGTTTCTCCTGAGAAACTTTCTCTTATTTGCACACGCAACAATGTTTGAGCAAAACAACTTAAATCAAATCTGGAAGTTTTCAAACAAACACTTTTTGTTTAACTTCCGTTTTGCTCTGCGCACTAGGTGTGTTTTCCAGTTTTCCCAACACTTTAATTTCATGGTCAAACATGATGAATCTTTGTTTCGTCTGAAACTTTTTCCATCAAGGGTAGGGTGGGAGGGTTTTGCCCCTTTTATGACGGAGAAGTTTTCGTCTTTCCCTCCCTTTGCTCTGCAATTTTTACCCACCCTCGAAAACCTTTTCCTATGGTCTAAAAAGGCCACACCCTTCGGCCCTGAAGGTCGGAAGGTGCTGAAGCTTTCCCCGATGAAAAAGAGTGTCGCCAGTGATTCCATCGGACATGTCGTTGTTTCATGTGATCCACTTTGTGAGTTTTGTTTTGCAAACGCGTTTGACGAGCGTTCGGAAATTATTTTAAAAAATGGAAAAACACGTGCGCGCTTGTGGAGTGTAGAATAAGTTGAGGTAACAGTTAATCACTGCCTGTCCGAGCTTCCCATCAATGCGACAGGGGATGATCCCTGCAGCGGTCAAATGGGGGTGCAGAGATGATTCTGTGATGGAAGCCGGTGGCACAGCCGTGTCACCTGTGGCTTCATGTGCCGAACAGCCTTGAACATCGATGGATGCTTCGATGTGTTGGGACAGATGCGGTCCTTCCTTGGTTTGCTATCTCAATAGCAACTGGCTTGCATGGCACCGGATTTCCCCGAGTTGTACCGCAAGAAAAAGGGTGCTTGTGCTGCGATCCATGTCATGTCTGGATGTCACCCTTTTTCGTTTGTGTGTTTTTGTTTACTGGTTTTTGGTGCGTGTTTTTGCACCCGGTAACAAGGAGGTATTGATAGCGTGGCGGCGTAGGCACTGATTTAAGCAAACGGTCAACGTGTTGATAGTGCCTTAAATCATAAGCCGCAGAAAAGTTTATAATCCATAAACTTTTAGCCACGCTATCTAATATAAACTAACCATGCGTCCTTGCGCAACAAACAGTTACCTTTCTCATGGTCTGCAATATCTGTTTCCAAAGTTCAACTTCAAGCCCTGTTATTCCAAACGTTTGGTCATGTGAAATCACAAGGAATGCACTGACCGTTTATTTGTGAACCAACAAACCCTTTTCAATGTTTGATGATGTGGCAACATCCCAGTCTTGGTTCACTTGCACTTGTGAATTCCCTTCTCAAGTTGCCATTTTTGATGTCAAGGGTTAGAAAAATTTTCGACGCCCACCCCACTGGCGTTCCCACCTAAAAACTTTCAATCAACAGCCTACTGCATTCCAAGTTCATCCTTTTGGCAGCTTTCCTAGCTCAATACTGAACCGTTCATACCATTTGCCAGCCTCGATGTCACCAGAGGCGATCGTGGGACTCACGGCCGCGATCAGTATCGCCTTTCGATGCTTAGAGCCGATACACCACAACATGCAGATGGCGCAAAACCTCCAGGAGCAGCGGTTGCTGGCCTTTGACAAGATCGTCTCCGCTTGCAAGCTCCTCTTGAAGCAAGTCGGCCGGGCCAAGTACATGGACAGTATCTGGTCGCTTTGGTCGCAGCTCTCGCAGAGCATATTTATGCTCGAGAGGACCCTGTGGCCTAACCAGCCACCCGAGACTGAGATGCACATCGTGCTACCACCTGAGCCGCGACCGTTGTCTGATGTGCTCCTGGACAATTTCAATGACTCCGCGACCTACATATTCCAAGCAATTGCACCTCTCGAACAGTTTCATGAATGGTTTGTCGCTGAGTACGACACGGTGTTGCACGCGGAGTTCAACAGCATGTTGCTTGACTCGATCCTCTTGTTTCGCACAACAGAATCGATGTTGCGCATGAAACAGCGCCTCCAATCCTTGATCCCTGCACCCGCGGCTTCAGCGATTGACCTTGATGCAGACCCACCGGTGGCACACACCGCTGCGGCTCCTTCGGCTTCATCGACCGCACCTGCTGTCGCCGAGCCCATGGTCATCACTAGCGCCGCTGGTGAG